CTATTTTTCACTCGTCAACTAAATCAAGATTACCTCTTCCTTCCCATTTTTTCCTTGTGGCCATTATCAAGTTGTAACTTCTCCTAGCATGTGTAATAGATTGGGGACATTCCTGAGGCTGAGGTAAAACCTCCGGATAATGTGCTGTTTGTTTGCAAGCTAAATCCAGTTACTGAAGTGAGTTTCCTATGTAATTGTTTTGTTCTTATTGCCTGTTAAATAAAGATTTTTAATTATACTTTCTATTGGAGTTTTTCTTTGAAAGTTTTAAGTCATTTATGTGTCTGTCTCCCTTTTTTTGTCTCTGACAGGATGGGGACCTTCATACAATATTTTCACGTTTTGGGACTGTTACATCGTGAGTGCTTGACACCATTAATGCTTTCAAACTTATTTCTTGCATAAATTGCTTGTGAAATGTGTTTCTCACAAAAATTCTGGTGGCAGTGCTGACATAATTCGAGACTACAAGACTGGAGACAGCTTGTGCTATGCTTTTATTGGTAAGTGACGTTGCTTTTTGCCCCCCAGCTCATTTTGAGTTACATCATTTTCTGAATTATTTGAATTCTATTTCAGTACAGTACACTGTCTGAGAAAGAAATATGTGCACATGCACCTTCGTTTCTAATCTACTTTGTTTGTGTTAGTTAAGTTCTTTCTTGCTTTGTCTGAAGTCTGAACTCTTACGATACGTGTAAGAATTCAGTTCATTGCCAGAAGCAGACAAATTCTATTGCTGTCACTGCATTAACACTTACTTTGTTGTAGTGATTTTTTTTTTCTCTCTTGAACTAACTATGTCTCTTTGTTGCTATATTAGCCACATTACATCTGATAAGCCTAATTAACACAGAAATATCGGTTTATTCTTTCATAAACTGATATTTCAATTGAGAGATAGCTTCGACAGATGGTATCTTTTAATCTTGAAACATGTAGTCAATAGCAATCCTTAGAGTAGACATTGAGGTATGGAAATTAATGGCAACTATTTGTTCCATCTGATCTCTATATGATCCTCTCTACATGCCAGAAGTAATCCTTTTCTTGGGGCTTTGTCTGCTAACTAGATGGATGTGCTAGGCTCTGTGATTTAGAATAGTTCAACTGTTTGTGATTCTATATGATGCGGTGTCGTCATATGTGCACTATTGTTTAATATTTTCTCCTTGTCAGAGTTTGAAGATAGGGAGGCCTGTGAACAAGCATACTTCAAGGTAACAATGCCAAAGTTGAAATTTATTTGTTACATTTGTTTTTGGCCCTGCCGTGTGGGAATTTACAGCTCTGTGTTTGCTGATTCAATAATTTTTGCACATGTATTGCAAGAGTTCATCACTCGTGGTCTCTTTTAAACTATGGACAAATCTTATTTGCTTATTGGATGATGCTATATTTGGATTTCTATTTCTTCATCCCATCCTTCTTTTGTCCACAGGAGTGGGAGGAGTAAGAAGAATCTTATATATCTTAGTCTAATGTGTAGATGATGATCAATGAGTGTGCTTTCAGTGACAGAGCTCATTGAAATTAAACTAGATACTAAATGCAATAACAGTTTCCAATGTCATATAGCTGGCTATGAGGTCGGCATCCCATCTCCCCCTGCTACCCTTTTCCTTTGTACATATTTCACTGGTGGTTAATAGTTTCTGTACTGACCCCCTTGATTTCTTCCAAATTTCTTTTATTCCGCATATGGCAGAAACCTGTATGGTTCAAAATTTGACTCTTTCATTTTGTATTAGATGGATAATGCTTTGATTGATGATCGGCGGATACATGTTGATTTTAGCCAGAGTGTTTCAAAACTTTGGTCCCAGTATAGGCGCGGAGGCCGAATGAATAAAGGTGAGTAGAGTGAGATACTCTCTCCTCTTTGTTGCCTTTGACTATGGATACAAGTTGTCCTCCGCGTAGATGAACCGTTGCCTTGATTCCTTTTCAATTGTCTAATGTCTGGCTACGTATTTATTTCTCTTTCCTGGTCCTTTCTAGCTAGTAGTAGATATAGTCATTTCTTGGGGGTGTCAAGTGAGAGGCTTGTAGAGTTGGATGCTTGGCAAAGGTGAAACTACAGAATTGGTTGTCAGTTGTACGGCAATAACCTCTGTAACATGATATGAATGATGCATGGTAGTTGTCATGACTGGTCACAATACTATGCTCAGCAAAGCTTGAATTAAAGGAAATTAGCTGCCAATTTACAATTAGGTTTGTTCCTTGGGCGGTTGTCGAGATTAAAAAAGTTTAAAACTTTAATCTGTTCTCCACTCGAGGGCTTGGTTTTGAATTTTGGAAACCAAACTTGAGCTGTTTAAAGTTCAGATTGTAAAACTACGTCATTTTAGAAATAGTCTTTGGTTCCAAAGTGATCTGACTGAAGTTTATGAATGAGTCCTACCTTCTCTGTTTTCTAAATTTTAAAGGCCCATTTCATGTTTTATAAGTATTCTTTAAGAAACAATAGCAGTACGCTTTTCTTATAAAAAAATATTCTCACCCTTGACCTATGTAGAACTGATCTCATACTTTGAATTAGACTGAATGTTTAAGCAATCAGTGGTTTTAGGAAACCAGAAAGGACTGGCTAATCTAATTGGTTTTGACAATTTACTCATCGACTATCCAGATTATTCATGGGTCGTAAGGGAAAAGAAAATTTAGGTTAAGCCAGTGTTTCAAACTGATTGAATTGGTGCTCACTTCTTTTAGTTTTTGCCATTAAACCAAGGTTATTTTGAAATTTTTGTGTTTTGACTACTTTGTTTTTGCGTGAAATGTTTTAAAAGAAAAAACTCGGTCAGTCTTGTTTTAAACAATTTGTTGGTCATCAGTTTCTTTTCTTGCAAACTATTTTTAACTAATTTATCAGTTCTTTAAATATGCTCATTGTGTCTCAAGGTTGAGATAAACTGAAATTAGTCAAAGACTGATAAAAGACGGTGAAAGTGATATATAGTAAAGTTGGGTTTCTCTGGTTTTTAAACCTGTGCATAAAGTTTAGCAGCCAAAGGTCCTTCATCTTGCTTTTTTATTTTATTTTAATTTTTTTTAAAAAAAATTTGTTTATTTGTACAGAGAGAATGGAACGGGAGTTGTTTAGGGGCACAGGTTGTTCGGAGCAATGTAGTATTCAGCTAATTGTCTGCCAATATGCTATAATTTTAGTTTAAATAGTTATTTGTTACAGGAAAAGGCGGCTTTCAGTGTGTAAGGTGGGGGTTGTCGAGGGGAAACATAGAAAGTTTTACGCCTTCAAGACAAGTATACAAAAATTTAGTTTCAACTGTTTCTTGTTGCAGGAAAAGGTTGCTTTAAATGTGGTTCTCTTGATCACATTGCTAAAGACTGCACTGGAGATCCAACCAATGCGCAGCAGCATTCAAAATACATACTCAAAGATGGCAACACCCAGCACGGGGGAGATGATAATTCAAGGTTGGTCAAGGCATTGTTGGAGAATTCTACTTCTGCACCCCTTTGTCTGAACATGCTCTAATCTTGTCAGAAAACGTGTGTTTGTAGGTATGAAATGGTATTTGGAGGAGAGGACCTTGGGAGCCCCAAGGGAAACAAGAGGGAAAGATACAGTGAGCCTGAGAAGAGTGACAGAAGAGAAGACTGGAAATTGGCAGGTCTTGATAATCAAGAGCGGGACGGGACTAAAGATTCCCAAGAATTGCGTAGTCATCGGGGCGGAAGTAAAGAGCTTAGAGAAGATGACAAGTATAGAGGAGACCGAGCAAGCAGACATAGTGGCAGGGACAGAGGCAGCACAGCAAGCGATGAGGGGGATTATAGAAGGAAAGCATATGGTGGTAGTGAGAGGGATGGGAGAGAGGGCGTGAGGTATGAGAAGAGGCATAGAGATGATGCTAGTCACAGAGACAATCGGTATGGGAGAGAATACAAAGAGAGGCGTGCAGATGATGCAGGTTGCCGAGACAGAAGGGATGAAAGAGATTCCATGAGAAGAAAAGGCGGCGACGAGGTGAGACGGAGTCAAAAGGCAGATGAAAATGATCATAATAGTAGACACGAGTCAAAGGGTAGAAAGCACCATGACATGGAGAGCAGGAAGGGAAGAAGTGAAGAAAGGGAATCTGGAAATCGAAAGGCAAAGGTTGATGATGCTGCCGACGTTGGTGATTGTGAACGTGACCGCAGTAGAAGACGGTAACTAGTCCGTGAGAAATTGTTGAGCTGCAGAACGCTGTATTTGGTTCTATATATAAAATACATTTATAGGTCGACAACAATCCCCTCAAAATGAATGTATTGGTGGCAATGGCAGCGTGTGTCCGCCACTGTGTGCTTCTTTCCAAATCAATCCCAAGTTGCAGGAGGATAGGTGTCATGAAAAACTATTGACCAACCGTAATAGCCTCCTCACCTTCTAATTAACCCTTTGGTAAAATTACTGAATTTTTATAAAGTACTCTATGCGGACTGTGTTAATGTTTGAAAAGTTTTTTCTTTTTTGTTTTTTCGGTAGAAATTTTTGAAAGTATAAATATCAAGTACTAGTGAGATATTCTTACGATGGTAAGAGGAATTATCAAATTTTAGAAAGTTTTATTAGTTAGTGGGGCAAAAGGCTGATGGCCATTATAATAATATGTGAAGTGCAAATAATTACCGTATCCAGATTCAGTCCATAATACTGAAAATCGTAGTACTGGATGTGGAACCGCAAGGAAAGGGTCTGACAATGTTCTGACTCCTGCATGGTTTGGGTTACTGCGGTCATAGGACCTGACAATGTTCGGCTTCGGTTTAGTTAAGGTTATTATGGTTCAACTCTGGATTAATTAGGATTAACCATTTTTATATTTTGTGTTATGCATAAGGAATTACAAATGGTTAAAAACAAGCATTTAACATTTAGATAGATTTGAAATCAGTTTAAAATAAAGTATGACACTTGGCTTCTTATTGTATAGCTTCTAAGAGATGTCATTCAAAAAAAAAAAAAAAAAAAAAGCGAATATCAATTGCCGTGGGGAAATCTCTAAACATATCGGCGCCTGATCCTCTTCTCTTTCGACAATCTCCTGATTATTATTAAAAAGAAAGAAAGAAAGAAAGAAAAGAAACAAATGGCCAGAATAGCAGCAGTAGCTACTGCTTGCTCTCACTTCATTCCATCCAAGCTCGCCATTTCTACCACTACTACTCTTCGACTCTCCAAACCGTCTCTTCAACTCCAATGGTCGCTACATTCGAACTCTCTATTGTTCAAGAGGAGGCTGTCGTCGACGGCGAGAATAGCTATGAGCCTGAAAGCCGGCATCGTCGGCCTCCCCAATGTCGGCAAATCCACTCTCTTCAACTCCGTCGTAAGTCTGTCTTCCTCCTTTTTAACTTTCGCCCGCCACTTGTTTGTTCAAATTTGGACCTTCATTATTATATTCTTGGACATTTGTACGCAGTTGGGCAACGAGAACTAGTTCAAATTCCTTCAAAAGCATTCAAGTTCTTGCTTTTAACTTCCGCCCGCCACTTGTTTGTTCAAAGTTGGACCTTCAATATTCTAGGACATTTGTACGCTGCAAGAACTAATTCAAATTTCTTAAAAAGCATTCAAGTTCTTGCGAAATGAGTGCTCTCTGATAACAGCCGTGCTTAGTATAGTTTGGTGAATGATTTGCAGGTTGAGAATGGAAAGGCTCAGGCTGCCAATTTCCCATTCTGCACAATTGAACCTAATGTGGGGAAAGTAGCTGTTCCTGATCCACGTCTTCATGTTCTTTCTCATCTTAGCAAATCCCAGCGAGCCGTTCCCACATCTATTGAGTTTGTTGATATTGCTGGCCTTGTCAAGGGAGCCAGTCAAGGGGAGGTGCATTTTTGATACAAACGCTTCATTTGCTGAGTCTTCTCGTTTTTTCTTGAGTTTCATACTGGTGTTCACGTATTGCGCTTATTGGAAACTAATTTCTGATTGCAGGGTTTGGGTAATAAGTTCTTATCACACATTCGTGAAGTCGATTCCATACTTCAGGTGTGTACTAGTTCTTCACCTATGATAATCTTAGCTCATAGTATCTGCTATTTAGCAGGTGTATTAGTTCTTCGTTTATGATAATCTTAGCTTATGGTATCTCCTGTTTAGTAGGTGAACACTTGAATAGCTGTTATCAGCATGCAAAAGTTAGTTCTTTCCCAGGGTTGGATGCAGTTCGAGTATTGGGGACCTACTTTGTTACATGTCTAACAGTGGCAAAGCTGCATTTTTTCTGTCATCTATTATGATCATTGTAGTTGCTAGGACAAGAAGATAATCATCTACTGTATCTCAAATAGAACTTTTGAGATGAATAAAGTTGTCGCCTTTAAGGGCATAGCATTCTATATAGCTTTGTCCCATCTGACTCAAATGGCAGTCCAGGTTTTGAGGATAGCTCTGCTGACATGTCTGAGCCTTCACCCTGCTTAGTTGACCAAAAAAATTCTCGATGTGTATGTGAGGGACCAAAAAAAATTAATGCTTTTTGGTCATTCTCTGTAAATTCAATATCCTACTGCTTTTAATTTCTAAGATGACCCATTTACCATTCTGATTCATGATAATTCAGCAGTTGTTTTATTGCTCTTTCAGGTTGTTCGCTGTTTTGAGGATAATGATGTTGTTCATGTGAATGGGAAAGTTGACCCAATGTCAGATGTTGATGTCATCAACTTGGAGTTGGTTTTCTCAGATTTGGATCAGGTTTGCTATCATCATTTTTTAATTGTTTTTAACTTGAAAGTTGGAACATCACAAGTTTGAGGCTTAAGAAGAAGAAACTGTAACTGTGGATTTATTATTATGAGGGTAAAATATGATGGAATTACCAGCGAGTGATGTATGTTTATCTTGCTGAAACGTTGTTGCGTATTCATCCTAAAAATGGGAGCGAATATTACTGCAGCAAATGTTTTTATTGGAAAATTAAGGAATGGCCTAACCAATTCATGACAGCCGTCATAGTTATGCCTAATTTTTGTCCATATAAGTTGTCCCCTGGGGGTGGTTGAATCTTATCATACCTTCATCTAGTGTACTGCAAAAGAGCAAATGCTACTCTAGATTGTCTTACATGATCGTAACTTACTTTTCTTTAGTTAAGCATGCTTACTTGTTGCTTACAAGAAGTACAGATTGAGAAGAGAATGGAGAAACTCAAAAAAGGGAAAGCTAAGGATTCACAATCCAAAGTGAAGGTAAGAGTGATCTTGGTGGTTCCAACTTCTAAAAATGTTGCAAAGTATCCTCTCTCGAACATACTCTAAAATCTGTGACTTCAGGAAGAAGCAGAGAAGTCTGCTCTGGAAAAAATTCAGCAGGCACTAATGGATGGAAAACCTGCACGATCAGTTTCTTTAACAGATTTTGAAAAAGATGCTGTAAAGCATCTTTGTTTGCTTACAATGAAACCAGTCATATATGTTGCTAATGTAGCTGAATCCGATCTATCTGCGCCAGAAAGTAACCCTTATGTTGCAGAAGTGAAGAAATTGGCTTCTGAGTTGCAGTCTGGGCTAGTAACTGTTTCAGCACAGGTTTGGTGATTTCTTCTGGCAGAAGCCCTTTGACCTTATAATTCCTGCAAGTTCTTTTCTTCTTTGGCTTTCTTTTCTTCCTCATCCATTCATATTGATGTAGTTCAAATTTGCGGATCTTCCTCATCCCCTCCTTAGTGCCTTACTTCTGAGTTTTTATCTGCCCTGAGCTATATATGCTCTATTGATCAGTCAGGCTTGGTAATAAACCTACATTATCTGATTTTGGTGGATGAAATGTATAACTGAATTAACTTCAAAGGAGGCCTTTTTACTTTGTTTGTCCCTGAAGTTTCCCTCTGGGAGGGTTGGTAGGATATTAAAGCTTAATTACCTGATATTTTATGCTCAGCTTCAGCAGTTTCTTAGACTATAGCTTAAAACTGACTGTAAATTGTGTTATCCCAGGTTGAATCAGAGCTTACAGAGCTTCCACTTGAAGAAAGGACGGAGTATTTAGCATCACTTGGCGTCAAGGAAAGTGGCTTAGGAAATCTTATTAGGGAGACCTATGGACTTTTAGGTTTGCGTACATACTTCACGTCAGGTGAAAAGGTAACGTGCATCAGAAACTTTGCTGATTTAGATAAAATTCTGTATAGCTGAAAGTCATATTTACTCATTCTGCTTTCAGGAAACCAAAGCATGGACCATACTATCAGGTCAGTAAACTATTGCCTCAATGTTGAATAAAAACTATGCTTTTCCTTTTCTTCTGAATAAGATACTGTAGTGGGATTTGTCCTGTTGTTGCTCTTCCCTGATTAAAATTTAGTTTGAAAGGTCTGAGTTCTTTTTTCTTTAGTGACTATTTTCTGATTTTCAGATAGACAATAGCATCTACATGTTTAATAGCCATCCTTATTCTGCTGGTTAATTAATTTCTTCTCAACCTTTCAGGAATGACTGCACCCCAAGCTGCTGGGGTTATTCATTCTGACTTTGAGAAGGGTTTCATAAGAGCTGAGACGGTGAGCTTACCGAGAAAACCCTGCCTCCTGGAGCACTGCTTTAGTTTTTCTTTATAGCATTTTTTTTAACTTTTAAGCTAAAAGACTGAGGAGCCCACTAAACTATTATCATCGTAAAGTTTTTGGTGACTGAACTATTAAAAGCTTCATATATTCTTTAAAGCTTCCAATACTGTAAGTGAATGATCATTCCATCCATTTCAGCTGTTAGGTTTCTCTAATTTAGTTAATTTTTAGGGAAATTTATGTCCAGACATTTTTATTGTAAGAAAATCTAAAAAGAAAACATCGAGCAAAATTGTGGTCCTTTACTTTATTCTGGTTCTAATAATTTTCTTTGTCTCTTTTTGTTATTTCTTATCCATGGTATAGGGTAGTTGATAGTATTATTTCCTTTTACACATGAATTGTTTTATGTATAGACATGATTGTCCCTATACTTAACAGAATAAAAAAGACATAAAGGTGGAAACAGACTTAGTGGTTAGAAGTTGAGTGAGTTGTTTGAAACATTTAATATTTGAATGGCCAAAACTTTAGGATCACAATTGTTTGGTGGCCCTCTGCATACTTTGCACTAACTTTTAAGATATAGGCATTAAGCTGATTTGTGTAGTGCTGATAAAAGTAGAAGATGAGCGCAACATGATACCCTGGTTAAATAATAGGTGGCATACTTATTGGTGGAACACAAAATATGCCATGATCACTATCAAATGATAACCTGTCTTTCTTACCCATTCGTGCTTGTACTTGTTCACTGCACTTGACAGTCAGAAATATCAGTCTGCATGTTTATTGCCAAATCTTGTTTGTGCTAACAAACTTTTGATAGGTGAAGGATTTCACAGAGCTCTCCATGTGATAACTTCATGCACTTCTCTAGTTCGGTGTTGTGTACTTTAAGAGAATAAATTTGCTATATTTGCCAAGTGTGGAAAACAATTCCAAATGTGGCTATGATGCATACTTTCCATTCATTTGTCCATTTTGGTTGACCTATCTACTAACTTGAATAACTTCTTGCAGACTTTTTATCCTATACATGTCTGTTTCACAAACTTTATCAGCTATATGACTCTGAGATCCAGATGTTTCTTTCCTAGGTTGGTTATGATGATTTTGTTGCTGTCGGTTCGTTTGGAGCTGCAAGAGAGAAGGGTCTTGTAAGCTTGTTCTTTCTTGTGTTTTTAAACCAATTATTAGGTGGATTGGTCTCTTCTTGCTAAATATGTATGCAGTAAAGACTGATTTCTTGGAAAACAACTTCATCTTAGGAAAAGAGAAACCTTAACCTCCCAGCCCCCTTTGGGCTTGGCCTGCAAGAAAAGAAAACAGAATATGATTTTAATCCTTTTCGCTAATGAAGATAGCTTACATGAGTCCATAACATGATTATCCGTTCTTGTGCAGCTGAGACTAGAAGGGAAAGATTATATTGTACAAGAAGGGGATGTCATGTTGTTCAGGTTCAATGTCTGAACGGTATACTAATCAGATTCTGGAACTGCATATATATATATTTTTGGAATCCTCACGAATGATGCATGCAATAGTTCAAGAATACACTTATGTGGGATGGACTATTGTTGTGTTAGAGATAGACATGTGAACTCCTGGTAAGTTATACACTTACAATTTTGGTCGAGGAGAAAGATCCATGGTGCATGTAGTTGGTCTTGTGGTTGCAAGTGAAAATTGATGCAATTTCGGAAGTAGACGAAGGTGACGATATAAAAAAGTGAGAGAGAAGACTCTGAGCGTGCCTTTTATCCCTCACTCTTCACTTTATATTTATTTTATTTTTGGTAAGGAGCTTCCAAATCCCTGAATCTAACCCAAATTCGAGCAGCAATTTACTTAGCAGTGGAAACGGTCCAGCACAAATCCCAGAGTCCCAAGTGTTTTCCTGAAAGATCTCCTTCCCCAGGCCCAGCATTATGTGTTTAGTTTGATGGCTGTTGCATTAGCTTGTAAGCAAAATCAAAAGCAGCTACGTTAGCTTGGAAGCTAAGATGGATACTAAGCTTCAGTACTCGTCTAATCAACACACTCAATTCATTTCAACATTCCATTAATGAGGCGGTGGGACATGGTGCAAGTGCAAAAGCATCTCCTTAGTTTGTTCCTAAAGCACTAAATAATGCAACTCCTCCCCTCCCCCCCCCCCCAAACATGATTGAACTTCAGAATATATCTCAAGGCCAATTGCACATTACAAACTTCATTGGAATTGTGCATTAGAAATCAACGAACGGACCCAGTTTATGAAAATATCAACAACTCTACGGTGATGAGAGATGATAAGGTTCACGTCACGCGCAGTGGTCCCTTTTTTTTTTTTTTGATAAATAAAAAAAAGAAAAGAAAAGAAAAGAAAATTGCAAACAGTTTGTGTAGAGTGAGTGAATGCGGCTGGGATTCATATTTGCATAATTAATACATCCTGCTCGAAGGCAAGGGAACGCACGTGTACACTTCTTTGTCAGTTTTCAGGAAGCAGGCATTGGATATCCTTCAGGGGTTTAAATAAATCTTTAATTAAAGGAGGATTCTTAATTTGATGTCCAGGAACGGTCGAGCTGCGATCGTGGCGGTTGATTTTATTTCTGAACATAAAAAAAAAAAAAAATCAGATATTTAGTGTTGGGATTGATCATGATGACCAGAATGTCAGTATCGCGTCTGCCCCACAACAAAAGAAGAACAGAGAAGATGGCCTGTTCTCTTCTCTGTCATTCGGAAAATTTCGGTTGCAAGTGGGTCACGCATCCCAAGCACCGGCAAGCAGGAAGAATGACGACCTCCCACCCACTCCACCCCCGCCCCACTCCTCATCCCTCTTAATTCTTTTATCGAAGTGATCAGGAGTATATATGAAGCGTCCATGCATGTCTCTCACTCTCCAAATGAGTAAATTCGATCCCTATCTTCTTCCTTTTATCTTTACAGAATTAGGATACACGTACCCACCCTTGAGATTGGACAGTTGGAGATAGAATGAAGAAGCTGAATCTGGTGCTCAAAAGGTGCAAGACACTGTCCCGACAACTGGGCAGGACTTCGTCCTACAGTAGCCTGAGGTCCAAGTCCTCCGCTGGAGATCATCAAGCTGATGATCATATGTGGGGTTCTGCTGCCCACATGGTACTGGCACAGGATGATCGCGAAAAACGAGATGCTAGCACAAATCACGAGGATTGTGAGACAGTGGTGGTATTTGTTGGGAGTTCGAGAAGGCGGTTCCTGGTTAAGTCCAAGTACCTGAGCCACCCATTGTTGAAGGCTATCATTCAAAAATCCAACAAGAATCCAGCAGGTGAGGATTTGTCTGTCAAATGCGAAGTGGTTCTCTTTGATCACCTCTTATGGATGCTTGACAATGCCGATCCAAATCTCGCTTCCGACACTCTGTCTTTGGAGGAACTTGCTGATCTCTACGTGTTTTAGTTCTGAAATTTGAGATTATGAAGGTGTTGATATTGAACGATTATCAATGCATTTGGTCTCTACCCTGTAGTATAGATGATGGATGATAAATTAGTCATGCATAATTCGCTTACATCACTTGTAATTGTCCTAATCTCTATTGTCATTGAATTGATGATTCAAAGGATCAAGAAATCAATAAAGACTCGCGATTTTATGTAATTCCGCTAGTTAATCAATATATATATGTCTATGTTCTTTTATTCCAAATTTTGTTTTGATGGCTCGTACATTGTGTTCAACTGACCCAATAGGAAATGAAAATTGCAAAGCAAAAACAAAAATGGGCTGAGGATGAAAAAGAAAAATCCAACGCTGAAGATGACCAACGATAACCCCTCCCCCACCAAATTGTTCAACCTTTTTTCCTTTTTCTTTTTTGGTGTCTGCAGAGGCCCCGTACTGGGCCTAGACACATGGCAGTCCAGGTATAGCCGAGCTGGGTTCCGGCCCCAGGCTCCTGGCGACCGCCCTGGGCCGCACCCCCGCTAGGGCTTCAGGGGGATCAGGAGACCGTCCCGCAGAGGTCGGAATCCCGCTCGGCGCGGGATTGAGATTATATCAGGAAGGTCTCGGAACGTACGGAGGTCGGACTCTGGCTCAGGTATAAATAGTGCTACACACCCATTGCCCAAGGGACGCTCGCTATAGGCAAATTATCCTCGGTTGTTACTACTTCCCGTGAATCCTACTCACCGGAAAACTAACTTGACCGTCGGAGTGCCCTCGGGGACCACCTCGGGGCCCCCTTTGTGAGATCACTTCTTTCTGTTTTGCAGGCTTGGGACGAGCTCTTCCATCAGCACTCCGAGCTTATCAGGTCAGCTCTACCCGGAGAAGTTTCGTGCTTCTTCAGTTGGCGCCGTCTGTGGGAAACGCAAGGTAATTATTGTTGTGTTGATGGCAAGAACACGATCCAAGCGAACCATTGAGAGCACCGGCCCGAGAGCCGGCGAGGGATCCTGGCGAGCGGAGACCGAGGCGGCCCGGGGCGCGAGGGGCTCGGAGAGCGGAGAGGACGGAAAAACCCCCCATGAGGTCCGCAAACGGCTTGAAATTGCGAAATTTGAGAGTGCGATGCTCGACCCCAAGAGGTCGGCACGCCTGTTAAAGACGGGGGGCTTGACGCTCAACCCAAGAGATCGGCATGACCGTCTTGAAGGTGTGATGCTCGACCCCAAGAGGTCGGCACGCCGTGACTTACTTTGAGGCAGCTTGTCAAAACCAGGGAGCACGCTGGCTCGGCCCAGGAGATCGGCACGATTGCCCTGAGAATGTAATGCTCGACCCAGGAGGTCGGCATGACTGCCTGGAAAATGTGATGCTCGACCCCAAGAGGTCGGCACGTCTGCTAAATTCATGGAGTTCAACGCTCGACCCAGGAGGTCGGCATAACTGCCTTGAAAATGTGATGCTCGACCCCAAGAGGTCGGCACGTCTGCTAAATTCCTGGAGTTCAACGCTCGACCCACGAGGTCGGCATAACTGCCTTGGAAATGTGATGCTCGACCCCAAAAGGTTGGCATATCCTCTAAAATCAGAGTTCGACGCTCGACCCGGGAGGTCGGCGTGACTGCCTTCAAAGTATGATGCTCGGCCACAAGAGACCGACACGGCTTGAAATTTTGAAGTCGGAAAGTGCGATGTTCGGCCCCAAGAGGTCGGCACGTTGTGCCTTAACTTGAATGAGTTTGTTTGACCCAGGAGGTCGGCAGGGCTCAAATCTTTAAAAGTCGGGGGCTTAAACCATGTCAGTGTTAATTTGATGCTCGGTCCCATGAGCTCGGCACGCATTGATCAAGTTTGTCGAAACTTGGGAGTTTGACGCTCGACCCGGGAGATCGGCGCGGTTTTCTCAGTGACAGTACTGTACCAGAGGTGACCGGGGCAGAGCAGTGCGCGACGCTGGTCTCCCACGTGACAGAGTATAGATTAGGTCTGCCTGGAAGCCTTACCTAATCTAGGGGGCTAGTGCAGAGGCCCCGTACTGGGCCTAGACACGTGGCAGCCCAGGTATAGCCGAGCTGGGTTCCGGCCCCAGGCTCCTGGCGACCGCCCTGGGCCGCACCCCCGCTAGGGCTCCAGGGGGATCAGGAGACCGTCCCGCAGAGGTCGGAATCCCGCTCGGCGCGGGATTGAGATTATATCAGGAAGGTCTCGGAACGTACGGAGGTCGGACTCTGGCCCAGGTATAAATAGTGCTACACACCCATTGCCCAAGGGACGCTCGCTATAGGCAAATTATCCTCGGTTGTTACTACTTCCCGTGAATCCTACTCACCGGAAAACTAATTTGACCGTCGGAGTGCCCTCGGGGACCACCTCGGGGCCCCCTTTGTGAGATCACTTCTTTCTGTTTTGCAGGCTTGGGACGAGCTCTTCCATCAGCACTCCGAGCTTATCAGGTCAGCTCTACCCGGAGAAGTTTCGTGCTTCTTCAGTGTCGGTTCTCTGAAGTGTACAGAGAAAATCTCGCCATAGTAGAGCTAAACGTTTCACTTGACTGAGTGTGATTGCCAATTGAATCGGATACCAGAAGGAATTCTATGTCGACGTAAAATAAATATAAAAAAAAGATCGTTTTTTGATCGGACGAAAGTCTAAAAGGGCCAATTTCAATGTCATTAAACACTAATGTGTTGCAATGACAGTAGCCAATAGTGAGAATAGTTGTTTCTCCAACAAATATATCTTTATTATATATAAAGTAAAGGGAGAGGTTGGGAATTTGGAGTGAGCACTTTTTGTCATTTTACATACTTTCAACTTTATTGTCATAAAGATCACTTATTACTTTACTAACTACACTTCAATTGCTAAAACAACTATGCGGTAATTATTTTTAATCATAACTATCCAAATATATATATATATATGTATTGATAAAATAACTGCCTATAAACATTGTAACTACCAAAATAATCTCCATTTGATGGGAAAAAAAGGTTAAAATGTCACAATTTACTATAGTAATAAAAATTTTATGTAAAATTAATTTGCAAAAAAAAAAAATTCTAAATTACACATATATAGTATGGACCTTTAGCACTAATATATATAAGTGGGCTGGCAAGGTTTACATGGAGCCACAGGTCCATTTTGAGGTGAGGTGATTGTGCTCGACCCATCTGATCAGAACTTGCCCTTTCCTCCCAGCAAAGGTATTGTTTACAGCTCAAGCCAAAGCCCATCCGTGGGACGGACATAGCATGTTGGGACAAATATGTCGTGGCGCTATCAATATGTGAGTCACCCGAGGTTGTGACGGGGAAATTTGGGAGGATCCAGTGGGGAACGGCAGCAAAAGTTTAGTGAACTTGAACAAGATGTAATGCATTTGTTTAAGGATTAATCTCTTATACATTAATTAATTAATAATGCATGCGCTTTCATCATTAAAAATATGATATATAATTTAAAATTTAAATTTCACATATGTGTCATGCATTCAACTGTAATAGTACGTATACAATTAGCGCATGGAGGATGCTTTAAGTTAAAAAAAAGGTATATACATTCACTCCCAAGAGTCATACTTACGACTAATAATAGCTTAAGCATGCTGGCGATGAAGTAGATTCAAATACAATAATATTATGAACAAGTCGAGTTGTTACTATATGTTAGGTTGGTGGGCTTCCTTCATGTAATAAAGCGCGTGCTTTTTGAGAGAGAAATCTAGTTGAATCCGATATTCATCTGCAAGGCTTTGGAGAAGAGAGAGCCACCTACATTCGTGAAGATTCTCCGGAACCTTTCAGGTGTGCTGCCACGCTGATGAATAAATTTATGCTGCCACGCTTTTTAGGGGCTTGATGATTGATGTTGTCGAGTGTCTTGCTGCACAGCTTGATGATTTGCAAGAAGACATTGGTCGTTCGGCCAACCAATGTCTTAGATGAATTGGCGAAGCATGCTTTGGATTTTCTCGGTCATCTCAGATTTCTTAGATGCATTTACATGCTTTCCTTGTGCTGCATAAAATGCATTTTTCTGTTGTTTCTTGTGATGCACAGGTCAGAGGAGTGATGAAGAAGAAGATGGCTGGACTCTGGAGATCTCTTTAGTTGGTTTGATACTACTGTTAGAATAGGTTTTTATCGGGAAATATGCCCTGAAAGCAAAATGAGTTCAAAGAAGTTTGTACTGGGAAAATGATTTGCAATGAGAAACATGATTGGTCAAACGACTTACATCGGACGGCTCAAACGTAAAAAGAAAGGTCAGACCACATAGTCATGATGCAATCGCTCATGCACGATTATTTATTTATACCCCCCAACACCCAAAAAAGAAAAACATAAAAGCACTAAGAAACGCAGTAGTGCTCTCTCACTCACTCCCTTCTCCCAAAGTGCACTACTGAGAGACAAAGCCTGTGTCTTTTTTGCTTTCCTCATTTCTTGCGCTTTCTGCATTGAATTGCTCTGCTTTCCTCAATTGGGCTTCATTGCAACTTGCAATTCATGATTCATCCAAGCTGTGGTGCTGATTAAAGTCTAAATTTCAGTCAGTTGTCCTGGTCATTCAATCTTTTCTATAATTCTTTTTAAACTTGCGGGTAATTTTCTTGAATCTGCTATGTTTCAGCATGCTTATGCATTTCTTTTCAAATCGCTAATAAAAAGTTTTGAACTTTAAGGAAAAAGGGTTTAGCCAGCAATACCTTTCATGCTAATGTTTTGTCAACGACATGGTTTTATTTTTCTGGTTTGATTTTGTCATTATATTATATCTATTTTCACGCCTCTTTTTAAAAAATTTTTTTTTTTTTGTTGGTGGGGGTTGGGGGGTTTTGTTTGCGCAGTGGCTTGATACGAAAATGCAAAGTTCAGGCCTTTTTGGCTGTCTTGTGTCTAACTTTGTATTTTCCATTATAATTCAGGAGCAGAACCTTTGATTTGCATGAGGCCTGGTTTCTAACGTAGTCGATTGTTCGGTTAGTTGGTTATCTTGTGTTTATTCTGTTGTTCTAAAACCTAAAGGTCATTTTCTTACTCATAGTATGTCACACTCTATATATATATATATATATTAAGGATTGGTCTTTCGGAATACTACTTCGTTGCTGGTTTTTCTGTATATTGTTGCAAAAGAAATTTGGGGATTTGGAAAAGGATGCATTTTGGTCGAACCTGAATTATGATTAGGCAATCAAGGAT